TCCAACAGTTTTATGAGCATTTCATAAAGATTTTATCTTTAAGAAATGCTCACTTCTTTTTTGGGGGTGGTGAGGGACAGGGGGGGGAGGGTGGGAGGAGGAAGTGACAGAGCTGCTTTAAATTGCTGCAATAGAAAAATGAATCCAACAAAATCCTGTTTCCCCGATACAGCAGGCACAGCAGCCGTTTTTGGTAACAGGTAAATCCACAACTCTCATTACACCCAGCAGCTGGCTGAGAGTGCTGGCCACTGAAATAAGACGATTAGACAGTTTTCTTTTAATGAAAGTGTTTGTTTTACAGACTGGGAATATACCCAGGTGTTTTATTATTTTATTTTTATTATTTTACTAGAAACCATTTATCTTCTGCAAAGGTAAAGGTCTCCTACTGATATCTGTAATCAGAAGGCAAAGGTCAGAAAATTGTAAATAAGTCGCCATGGGTGGAAATAAAGGCCTTCACACAAAACGCAAACGGGTTTCACAATCTTCCTCACCTCTTTTCAGGCCGCCCTATCCACTAATGAAACATTCTTAATCAGAAGCATGAAAACAAACGTGCTCAGACTGACCACAGAACATGAATCCTAAGGCAGTCATTAACAGTACTTCCTCTTCCCTATGTGTACACGTTCACCAATATTTCTCCAAAATGTATTGTGTGACAGTTCTTGAAGATGCATTTCCTCTTTAATTCACACAAAGCATGCATGTGTACATTTTACTGGACTTCTGATCACTGGAAGTCTCATAATCACACCCTTAATATTGACCTATTGCAAAATGAACTTCCTGCTGTCATGGAAATGGAATCCTCTTTAACAGCAGCTGCATTACAGTGGCTGTGATCAGAAGTACCCAGAATCCTTAGCGCGACATATAATGGTTCAATGGCTATAAACATTACTGCAAAATATATATTAAAACACAAAAAAAACTCAGGGTAATACTACACAAAGCGATCCCACACAACAATAAACAAACAGTATACAGTCATGTTAGTTATAATATATATTATTTAAAACCAACATGCAATTTATGGTTTTCTGGATTTCTCATAGGCAACCTTGTAAAATACTAAATCGATAGAAAATGGATAACTTCCCCCACCCAAGTCTAGACACAACAAGCAAACAAAAGCACCTGGCAAGAAAATATAGCTCTTAGCAGCAATCCATGGGCAACGTGTGAATCATTCATACCACTATAGAGATGTTTTATAAAGTTATTGTCTAATAAATACCTTTTTGTTTTAAAAAAAAATAAAATAAAAACAAGATTAAGAGAACGCAGACTTGTCCAAATTGTCAGATGTATAGTTAAGACTACATTTTGTTTCTTTAAGTAGGAATACAGCAAGCTATTAGACTTACAAATGAGGCAGGTTAAACTAAATTATACTAACATTAGGGCTCATACACACACAAGCATACAAACAGACACGCACACACTCTTATTATAATTTTTTTAATATTAAATTACACTAAAATACTGAATGTACTCATATACTGTATAGCATACAGGAAGATTTACATTATCCTCTGCATATAATGGGTTTTTTTTCTCTGTCATGTACAATAGACAATGTAAGTGTTGGCAAATGATGATGTCATTGTGCATGAGTGTTGTATTGTAACTTATTGGACTTGTGCATGAATTGAGTCATTTACAAAATAAAAAAAGCAAATATGAAAATGAAACAGCATTCAAAGCAACACACAGCATACCTGATCATTAACTATGTCAACTGTGAGCCATTATAAATTAGTAATGCAACCAAGCCACAGAAATGACAGCCTGCCCCCTCACAAACCCCAACCCAAAGGGTCTAAAAAAAAAAAGGGGGCACTCCCTAAAAGCCCAAATACAGCACCATTTCAAGTTCAGGCTCCACAATAAGACAATCTGAAGATGCAATGAGCTGCATCCTCACCATCCCTGGTGCCTAGTGACAAATCCCATCTCAGCTGGGAGGCAGATCCCAGACAATGGGTACCATGGCATCCCATCTCTCCTTACCAGCAGCCCCACAGTCAGAGCAGGTACTGTTCCCTGGCCTCTGTGCCAGCTCCAGCAGGGATTTTCTGTTTCTTTCTTCCGCCATGGTTGTGTGCAGCCAGCCCAGATTGCCTTTTATCCTTTATTTGATTACTGCTCCCTCCTCTTGCCCACAGTGTGAGACATGCAGGGGATGTGGCAGGGAGGGGTTCACGTGGTCCTCATTGCTGCAGGTGGATGCTGGTGCTGCTGTCTAGGACTGTGTGTGTCTGGGTTATCGGCAGTCCTGGGCCAGCTCCTCCTTTCTCCCCATTCAAACTGGACTCTGCCTTTACAACCCACTGACTTCTGGTTCCGCATTCCTCCGAATGTTACAAGATAGCCAAGGTTCCATCTGCTGCTCACTGCTGCCCCCTGCTGGTCTGCCGATGGTATGAACAGTTAATATCACAAATTACTGGGGATAGTCATAGACTTTTACATCGTTTTTATTAACTGGAAAACTTTGGATATAAAAACTGTGAGGTCTATCGGTCTATATCTATCTATACATCTATCTATCTATCTATCTATCTATCTATCTATCTATCTATCTATCTAATGCTAAATATGTATGTTGGTAAAAAAAAAAATGTCATTGAGGGGTCCTGGGGACTTTGTAAGAAACCTTAAAGAGAAATTATAGGCGCCCACACCTTTTCATCTCCTAGGTGTCTCGAGTGCTAACTACATATGTGGTGGTTAATTGAAGGTTTAAAGGGACACTATAGGCACACAGACCAGTTCATCTCATTGAAGTGGTCTAGGTACACCGTCCCTATCCCTCTTAGTCCTGCAATGTAAATCATTGCAATTTTAAAGAAGCTGCAATGATTACAGGTCTGTGTCTGTACCCCCCAGCCCTGGTCTGTTTCTGCCTCCCCATCATCCCTTGTTGGTTTAAGTCCCCCCCATGTCTGTTTCTACCTCCTCGCCCCAGCCATTGTCTGTTTCTGTCCCCCTCTGTGCCAGATTACCTCCCTCCCTCTTGTAGAGCAGCCGAGCCTGACAGGAAGCAGTCTGGCGCTTCCTGTCAGACTGGAAAGAAGGAAACAAGTACCTATTCCCCAGTCCGCTGCTCGGCCATGCTACATGCCGAGGCCAGCAAGAGGGGCGCACTGTCCAGTGCGCTCCCCTCCTGCCGGTCAGCCGGATCCAGCGACCCCCAGACCACTTGGCCCTAAGGCACAAAATGTCGCCCCTGTCAAAGTGCCGGAGCCATGACCCCACTGGGGCAAATGGATGGGCCGGCTCTGAGTTAAAGGCACACTCCAGAATCCTAAAGCACATTAGCTTACTGACGTGCTTTATGTGTGAAGAGTGTGTACTCTTTTTTCATTTTACAAACAGTAAAGATTTCAATAGATATTGGCAGTTTTATAAATTACCTTGTTACACTTCCCTGGCTGTCAAACGCTTCCTGGTTTGTTTAGCTCAGTAAACCTAAACTCAAGAGGCAGCAATTGCCCAGAGCACCTGCCTTGCAAAGACTTCTCATTGACCTGCATTGGGAAGTCTGTGATTGGACAGCCACAGAAAGTCTGAGTGGGGTTAGAAGGGGAGGGCTTGCAAAGATTGCAGACAAGACAGCTTTTGCAAGCTGGTTTTAAATAAACCCTCAATGTTATAATTAAAAGGGATTGTGCCGAGGAGTGCTGGGAGCTTTGCCCGGCACTGGATTAAGGTTATTAGAACTTCATTTATAAAAAAGGCTTTTTAAGGAGGGTGCCCAATATTATTATTATTGCCATTTATATAGCGCCAACTGATTCCATAGCGCTTTACAATATTATGAGAGGGGGGATTTAACTATAAATAGGACAATTACAAGAAAACTCACAGGAACTAATGAAAAGGGACCCTGCTCAAACAGGCTTACAGTCTATATATGGCATCACTAAAATAGAAAAAAAAAGGGCTAGAGTAACCCTTTAAGGTGAAACGGAATAACACGTTTTCTGATAACTCTATAGTGCTCATAAATTAATACCCCTAAAAATCTAAGATTTTGTTAACGTTATAAAGTTTTAATTTGTTAAACTTTCAAGGGGCGGGGCGGGGCTTGGCTACCATGCTGTGAGGAAGCACACGGTTGCAGCTCTCTTAAAGGGACACTGTAGGCACTGTATCTGCTTCATTTCATTAAACTGATTATAGTGTCCAGAGTTCCCAAGTTCCATAATTTCATTCAGCATTAAACAGTTTTTCATATTTTTATGTTTCAATGCTAAATTAGAGTACCCAGCAGCCCCTCCCCTCTGTGCTGCTTTGGAAAATGAGGAAGTACTAGCATGAGCAGCAATGGGCAGCTATGATTGGCTGAGAATGTCAGCTGTCTGTTTTTAGCCTATCAGAGCTCCAACTAATGGCATGAAGGGTATGACTTCAAGGAAGTGTGTAATCTCTGCCTTGGCAACACCTCCAGAAGAGGCCGGACTGTGGGTGGCCTCGATCCATTATTTAGTGTTAAACTGCTCTAAAATGGTTTAACATTGTATGGAGAGACAGTGCCAGGAGATTTCAGGCATCATAACCAATTCAAAGAGATTAAATTATTATAGTGAGTACAGTGTCCCTTTAAACCAACCAAGTTTTTTCGATGTTTACATAAACATACCTGATTTGAACTCCACATATCAAGGCAATCCTGTTTGAGGAATCTCTGGGCAACACAGAGATACAACTCCAGCAGCCCTACCTCAAATTTTTGCAGCCTACTAGCTGGCTCGGTGCAGGAGAGATGGCAGCTCTCCTGTAACCAGCATAGCTTGGGGATCCCATCTGCCACCCTCGTTCCCCCCACTCTGGACCGGTGGGGATAATCCCGGTCCCCGCTGGGGAAGACTATACAACTTTCTTGCCAAAGGAAAGCGAGTGACTAAGATGGCGGCGATGACAGAACTCCCTCTCCAACAAGCAGACCCAGTGGGAAGGAATCCATCCTAACCCGATTTGACACGCTATGCAGGCTGTTTTGGCAACTCATTTACAACTGCACCACTGTGACGGTTGGAGGCTGCTCCAGTGCACTGCTCTCGTTCTGGGCTGGGAACCCAGACGGAGTCACGTCCGACCCACCATCCACATACCGGGAAGGTTCCACATATGTCAGAGTCTACTCGGGTCCAAGATGCTGCTACCACGAGGAGGAAGATCCGTGGATATCGGGAATGGGATCCTGTTCTGGCCTGAGGTTGCAGACCTGCAGAGTTGGGGCTCTGCAGTCTGTGTTTAGGTCATCTACTCAACAATCTACCAGCGTTTTCATATTTGGTGGGAGAGAGAGCCACTGCCAAGCATGAACATGGAGTGGACTTTGCATCATGGTTAGCATGTAGCATAGGCTAACTGCACACCCAAATCTTGATATGCTGGATTATGGAACTCAGTTCCTTGGATCCACGAGGTTCCATCCATTCTTTTTTTGTTTAGCAAGTACCCAGTGGTAACATTCTAGTACTTGTTTCACCTGCTCACACCCTCAGTTAGTATCTGTATTATTAGGGTAACAGTATCTATTTTTACCCTTACTCTCCTTTTTCCCAATAAGGTGTTTCTGTCACATGTGGTATATCTGTATCAACTTGACCCTACTCATAGGTAGTCCTCTGTATGCTCCGTATGTTTTAATTGTTTTAATACTGATGTGGAATCAATCAATTAATTGATTATCTTGCGTATCTGCCCCCGGCCAAATTTAAAAAGATGCGTGCATGCTCCTGAAGTAATTCACACCAGACACAGGTTTCGGGTTAATGAAAAACTTGAGAAATGTTTATTCTGGGGGGACAGCATGCCCCTTATAAAGCAAAATTACATCATCTGCATTGTCAGATATAACATGGAATAATACATCAATAATTGGTTAGGTGTTAAGTGGTTCATTTAGTGCCCTTCCTACCGGGTGTGATGTCACTGGTATCTTGGAGGTCTCCCCCAGATACCAGCGCCATCTTGTTAATGAGGGTGTTAGTCGATGTCAAAGGGAAACTCCCTAGCGGCCATTTTAGGTAAATCACCTATAAGGTTGAATAATGCTGATTGTGGTTAGGCTGAGTAAATAGGCATTTTATTAATATGACTTGGGTTAATATTTTTGTCCACAACAAATACTTAGCCTGCTTGGCTTCTGTCAAGTACATCACCATAACAGCCGAGGTTGATAAGAGTATACTACCCATCTTGGAATTTGCATACCAGTTTTCATTTGGTTCTATATTTAAAAAAAAAACATGTGCTGTTATTTTAATTGCCACACTGTTATCAAAGTTTTTGCTAATCTTGCTCTTGCTGTTGGGGTAACGCAAGACTGATTGTTAGCCTGCGCACAAATAAATAAAGATTGAGAGCAAAAAAAAAAAAAAGGAACACTCCAGTGCTATAAATATACCATATTTTTCCATGTATTAGACTGTTTTTTTCTTCGTTTTTTTTGTTAGTCTAAAATTGGGGAGCCTAAGTCTTGTCTTATACATGGAATGTCACAGCAGGGGTTAAAAAAAAACAAAACACACTTGTGCGCGGGGCCTAAGTTAAGATGGTGCCTGCTGCATTTCAGTGTGCCATGGCCCACACACATACCTGCCCTCCCTCTCGTTAACGTCACAGAGTACTGTAGCACAGGGGATGCATGAGAATCATAAGTGTGTTGTTCTCCTCAGAAGTCACCTCTAAACGATCAGTTGTTCTATTTGATGTTTAAAATATTAATTTCTTAATTTTGGGCTCATAAAATAGGGGTCGTCTTATAAATGGAAAAAAACTGTATTTGTAACATGTTATGTTCTAGTATTTTTTTTTATTAACGAAACACGGTCACCCTCCACACCCTCCAAAAAAAAATTGTATTTCGTAAAGATAGATTCTTTATGAAAGACTCATTGTCACTGTGTTAACCCAGTTAAGAAATGTACAGAGACAAAGTAGGGACTTCTTTCTCCTATTTTTCTCTTTCGCCTGACTTAGAGTCTAAATGTCAATACTGACTGTCGTCTGCAGGGAATTGGTTTGGTCTATGAAGGATCCCAGTCTCACAGGATACTCCAATGACCTCAATGCTGTACTCTCGCACATCGTGAAAGTACAGCAGTAACATTGGATCAGACCGAACAAGATGGCTGTGCCTGCAAGGGACAAATTCAGGTAAGTAAGTCTCACCTGTACCTGCCCTCCCCCCCCCCTCAGTCAACAGAACCTCAGCGGCAATGTCCCAGTCAGGGGTCTTAGCAAACTCTTCAAAGTCCCCAGGCAGTAACACAGTGCTGCTTTAATCACCCCATCTCAAAACGAAATCTTAGGCTGCAGGAGACCTTCACTTCACAATCGAGAACCTCCAAGGACAATCCAATGTTTCTCATGCTCTGTGGAATTCCTCAAAGAGCCCCCATCTCTTATACAGCACTTACACAGTATGCAGCAATCACAGAGTTCCCATCTCAGATCAGCACCCATATAGTATGCAACATGCACAAATATTCACAAAAGTAGGAATGTAGCCGCACTTGATACCAACTTACACCATCTATTTGGTGCTGTGTAGTATGGTGTTCCCAAGCATAATATACATTTTACACCAAGTAATGGCTTTCCACTTCAACAGTAACCTGATGGCAATAATAAACTGACTTTATAAGGGGAATGGTCACAGACCAGGTTAAACAGCAAACCAGAGTAATGCATAGGGAGCAGTAGCGTACTAACCCAAGGGGCGAAGGACCCCAGGTGACTGGCAGCAGGTGGATACACATAGCACCCTTGCCTACTGGTGACAGTTATTGTAAATAAAGTGTCTGCTCTGCAGACTCCATTTAGTAGACATTGTGCGTGCAGAGGAGCTGCAGGGATCAGTCTGTGCTCTGACTGCACAGCTCCCTCATCGTCCTATACGAATGTCAGAATCCATGATGTAGCATTACCCCAACCCCAGCATCAGTACAGAGCTGAAGGACCCTGTGCGATCCACTGAACACCAAGCATCTAAATAAAAATATAATGTTTGCATATGAATTTAATTATATGTGATATGAATGTGAGTGTGCGTATATGAATTTGAATATGTAATAGGATTGTGAGCATATGAATGGTATTATGCGTGTATGTGAATGTTAAGTGTATATGAATTTGAATGTTAGCATATGCTTTAATGTTTGTTTGTGAAAGAGTATATGCAGGCCCCGTGTGCTAGATAACCTGGGTAATGCGTCTGGAAAAGAGGAATTCTAAGGGCTGGAGTCAGAACACAATCTGTAAAGGCTGAGTATACAATCAGAGAGCAGTTCATGTGAGTGGCACTATATTCCTCTTATATAGTGCACTAGCTCAATGACCTTCTGTCCCCATTACCTCCTAGAGAAAGGCAGTGATCCCAGCATTTAGAGAAGAAGTACAACCCCACGGCTAGCATTCAGTCTTTATATATATACTGGCTGAATGATTTGCATATTAACCATTCCCCAAACACAGCAATAAAGCAGCAAAGCAAGAGCAGATGAACATAAACAAACAATTTGCAAGAACACGCATGGTGTGTTTAAGCCCCCCGTGGCAATCTATATATAAAAAACAAACTTCCAGACACCTGCAGTGTTATTCACTTAACACTAAAATTTCGTGTTCACTAACCCGGATTGTTTTTGCAAATTTACTCTACTGCCGTTTAATGATGCTGTAACACTGCAAGTCATATGCAACATAGACACAAGACAAGAATAGGGAAAGAATATGTGTATAACAATATAGCAGCTCAATAAACAAAGGGTGTTTCTCTGTGTAATAGTCTTTTAAAGTCCAAAGGATGAGGCCATGGAGTGCAGCAAACTGTTGATATATGTTTTGCCCTGCTTATTAGTAAGTAGGAATGGAAATAACAACCCAGTTGTAAGTACTGCTACTTTATGTAGAAGTTTAAAAATGTGGTCCTTCCCCACCTGTCAATCAACTCCATAGACATCATTTGATGACAACTATGTACCTTCCTACAGGTGGTTCTGCATATGTCAGGTGACAATCTTTTTATTGCTCGTCAGACACATTAGACATTACACAAAATGGCAAAGCGATTAGGAGCAATATGTATGCATACAGAGAAGTAATATCTTATTTTCCAATAGAAATAGAGAGTAAGGCTATTCTAACCTTGTTGTATTAGCTGCAAGGATATAACACTGACTGGTTATTACATAAGCTACTATTCTCACAGGTATAATAAGGAAAGAAACACTCATATAAAGGCAAAATAATAATAGAATTAAAGCACAACACAAGAAACAAGGGACATCAACATCACAAGGCTTTGATCAATGAGAATGTCCCGAGAAGCTATCAGACTCTTTTTTTCCATAGGTATTTTTATGCCACAGCATAAGACAGTTGGTAATAAGGACCTTCAGTCTCCCAGTCAACCAGCCACCAGGCTTGCTCGCAAGGGTTGACACCTTGCCTCTCAGTTGAAGCGCTCCTGTCGTCAATTCCAGGCTGTCGTCACACTGCGGATTCATGGCGGTTACACTGGCTTTTCTGGACTCTCAGGGAGGGGATATTCCCTTAGTGCCTGCTGTTTGAAGAAAGTTAGCCCTTCTAGTTTAAAGTCTCCTTTTACCCCACCAGTAGATGATGGGAACCGCAGGACCTTCTCCAGTATAAGCTGGATTGTAAAGTTGTTGCATGCCATTTCATAGTAGATCCGGAGACTGATAGGCCTGCTCTAGCTGCCAAAAATACTGAACAAATACCACTAAACTTCTTGAGAAAATCTTTCATAGCAAGAAACTGGAGTGGAAGCTATCTTAGATCTATCTGGCAACTGCTTTGCAGTATAGAGATAATGTGTTCAAAGAAATTGTAGCTAAACCCGTAAGACATTGTATTAAGCAATGTAGACCTGGATAAGGTCCAGAGGGGAAAAAAAATAAAAAATAGTAGAAGAGAATAGTAGAAGCACCAGAAAGAGGGGAATAGGTCACCTTGACACTGGGGAGGCTGCCAGCAGGCCACAGGTAATACCATCCTGAGAAACACCCAATCACAATATAAAATGTCAGTCCAAAAATGCTGCAGGGTGTTTTAGACAATTGTAGGTCAGTTTATTGCAGAAAATGTCAGGATAACTTGCTAATAAAGCTTAAAGGGACTCTACAGTGCCAGGAAAACAATCCGTTTTTCTGGCACTGCAGGTCCCCTCTCCCTCCCCTTTAGTCACTTACCAGAGGCAGCGACATGTCCCACGTCGCTGCTTCTTCCTCCGCCGCCGCTCCTCCCCTTCATTACGTCAGCCGGCAGGGGAAACTGATCCCGCCTGCCATCTGGGGAGACCTAATGCGCATGCACGGCAATGCTGCGAATGCGCCTTATACCTCTCCATAGGAAAGCATTGAAAATGCTTTTCAATGCTTTCCTATGGGGATTTTAGCAACGCTGGAGGTCCTCACACAGTGAGGTTTTCTGTGCTATGGACCAGGAAGTGCCCTCTAGTGGCTGTCTAGGGGAGGACTTAACCCTGCAATGTAATTATTGCAGTTTATGAAAACTGCAATAATTACAGTTGCAGGGTTAAGGTTAGTGGGAGTAGGCACCCAGACCACTCCAATGGGCAGAAGTGGTCTAGGTGCCTGGAATGTCCCTATAAATTCTCATAGAATCAGAGAAGCATCTCCAGCATACAACCTGCTTTATTAGCAGCCAGGCCCTCTACTGATACATGTCGCTGGCCTTTCATATCTATCTATAGTCCCAGGGATAATAGGAGCACTCAGTGCTGCAACTCCCAAATTAGGAGAGTGGCTTCAACAGATTAAAAAAAATTAAAAATCACAATAAGAGGCTATAACATTTACTTAGGAAATACACATAACAGAGACAGAGCCATCTCCTAGGCACTGCATTGCAGGAATATGTATTTAATAAAAGTTCACAGAACTGAATTTAGGAGAACACAAGATTACATGCAGAGCCATCAAAAGATTATTTTCTGTAAGGTGTCATTAAAGAAACTGATCACGTCTTATACTTGCACACTGATTTCAAGCAAAGTCCATACACTGCCCAATGAAACGAATATTTCGCCACACGCAAGACTCTTGCAGAATTTTGTCTCCCAGAAATGCAAAAGTAGTCCAAAAAAAAAAAAAAGCGTTTTTTAAATTTTTTTTATAATTTATTTTGCTCTTCAGTTTTCTGATTGTTAACCAGGTCCTTAAAACCTAGCTTCTCCAATGGTTCCTTTGCCATTAACTGTCTGAAAGAAAAATACAATAAATACACCATTAATATATAATAAATTCACATGAAGAAATAAGCTTTTAAAAAAAATTAAAAAAAATAATTAAAGGGATATGCCATGAACACCATGTCTAGAGTGTCTTTTTACAAGGAAACTATAGGCATCAAAACAACTTCAGCTTAATGAAGCAGTTTTAGTATATAGATCGTCCCCCTGCAGTCTCACTGCAATTCTCTGCTATAGTGTCTCTTTAACTCAAACTGTAACAAGAATACATAACTTCATTACAGGTTTTCTGTTATCTTTGTGCAACATAAACAAATCACTATCTCTACAGTACTTTTGCTTTATGATGACGTTGTTGTTCCAGGATGCCTTGGGGACATACATATTTGCTCGGGCATTTAAAAGAGAAATGCCATTCAGGCTCATGCAATGTCACCATATTCTCTAACAATGCTATATATGCACCAAGTGCTGTACTGCAAATGTTAACTAATTTACGTAGCTTGACGGACTGTGCTCGGTAAATGACAAAAAAAATTAAACTATATAAAATGTTAATATAATTTTGGCACAGCCAAAGGTAACTTTTAGTTAACCATTAGGTTGTGCCAAAATTTTTATTTTCTTTAATGCATATATTGTACAATTGTATATTGTGATCCCTCCTCATTGTAATGTAGAGACATATAATCATTACTTGCAAGCAGCCTACTCCCAATACAGCAAGTAGTCTCCTGTTAGTGGTATGTGTGGACTGCAAACGTCCCCAGCATTATGGCATGACTTGTCTAGAGGGAAAGGCGGTTTGTTTGTGCTGTCACAATGGCCTAATCTAATGCTAATCTCTACCCACTATCATATCCACAGTTTAAAAAAATCAGAGAAGTAATATCTCATTTTAGAATAAGTACAACTCTCAGTCCACACTAATTTCACCAGAAGGTGAATTATGTATTATACATGCAGAGGAAACAGTGGTGACTGGTCAGAGCTTGGGATCCAGATCTGGCCCCACTGCTGCAGTGTCCATCCTTGCTTTGTACCACCAAGGAACCCCCAGTAACTAATCTAGCCACCTGGTATCTCAGCACTACTTGCCTCTCAACTACTGGATGAAGTGAAAAATATCCCTACCGATCTCACATCTAAAAACATAACAAAATTTACAGATTTCTTGTCTGAAGCCTTTGCAAGCCCTCCCCCTCCCCCAGCTCAGACTTTTTGTGGCTGTCAAATTATAGAATTCCCAATGCAGTTCAATGAGAAGTCTTTGTAAGGCAGGTGCTCTAGGCAATCTTGCCTCTTGGATTTAGTTCAACTGAGCTAAACAAACCAGGAAGTAACAGAACCTGTTTTCTGCTAGAAAACCAGAGTTTGTAACGAGGTTCATTTTCATATAAAAAAAATAAAAATAATAATTTCTATTAAAATCTGCACTCAAATATCCTGCTGGGCACCCCTAGCAGGACGGCGCTTTAGGCAAATGCCTAGTTTGCCTAATGGTTGCACCGGCCCAGGTTATGTTGCTTGGAGCGTTCCTTTAGTATTAGGACTTCCCAAACGTATTCCTAACGTTATAGTGTCCTAACTACGGAGGTGTCCGTTTACAATAATTTTTTTAATGATTTATTCGCATTGTAGGTAATTTTTTTCGGTTCTGCCTTCTTGGCTGACAATCAATCTTAATATAAGCCAAGCCAATGTTTTCCCACAGAGAAGCATGTGGGAGCTAGAGCGCATGCATGGCAAACCCCCCCCCAAAAAAAACCCACTGCATTGCGCCTATCATATGCTCTCTGGTATCAGCATTTGACAGAGAACAGTCTTACTCTGTTCTTACGGGGGCAGCCCCTTTAGTGGCTGTTAGAGGTGTGTTAACCATGTAATGACAACATTGCGCTATCTACTAAAAGGCAAGGTTTAGATTACAGCAGGAGTGCCCAAAAGGAACATCCCCAGATGTTTTAAAACTACAACTTTCATAATGCCTTGTCATTCTAAAGACATGCAAAGCATCATGGAAGTTGTAGTTCTGTAAACATCTGGGGAGCTTCCTTTTGGGAACCCCTGGATTACAGGGTTAAAACTAAATGGCCATTGCACCCATACCACTTCGTTGACATAAAGTGGTCGATTTGCCTTTAGTGGTCCTTAAAGCTATAATCCATTACTAAATTAATACGATTTATCAGTTTTAGATTTCTCACATCTTAAGAGACTTTTGTCATTGTTAAAGGGTTGTTGGGGCCCTACTTCTCAGTTGCAAGAAGTTTTCTTGGTCCAATGACCCTGGTCACGTGTACCAACCTACCTTTCCATTCTACATTCCAAATATTCCTTAGATGCCTCCCGACAGGGGCCACTCTGATATGTATTCTGTCTCAAACACCTCATGAACTTCTCTTTAAAAGGTTTACATTCACCTGAAAAAGAATACAGCCAAAATTACCGGTATTTGTAAATTACTAGAACAGCAGGAGGGGCACAGATTTAATCTGGTATTAGATTCTCTTTTTGGATGCAGAGAGGACATTTGACAGGCTTGAGTGGCCCTTTTTGTTTTAGGTGCTCTCTCTTTGTTGCAGCAGTGGAACCAATGTACACTTCTTGAAGGATTTAAAGCAGCCCTATAATTTTCTCTCTTTTGGTTATGCCCTCTGTATCTACCCCATGTCTGATCTTTTCTTCCTTGTGCCAGATCTCAATATGTGGGTGCAGTTATTGTGTTACTTCCTTCCTACTTTCTCTGACCTCATGCATGCTTCAGTGTTTCTGCAAAAGGCATTTGATACAAATGTGAACAATGTTTTATCTAAAGTGCTATTAGAATATGTCCTAGACTGCCATGTGACCTCTACATGAAGCGCATTAGGTTTAACATTGTCCCCCTCACTTTATACACCGCTTTGTTGTTTTAAACATTTCAGTGTTATAAATATATCTTTTTTTGTTAAAGTACTTTATTTTTAGTTAAGGGAGAATTTCTCATGCAGCTGAAAAACCAAGTTTAGATACTCTGGGGCCACAGGATAATTACATACATAACCTGTATTATTTCATGGCACTAATATAAAGGATCTTTCTGTATAAGATCCCAATAGCATTCAGATATTACTTATAGCATGGAGATAGATCTTAAAGAGATGTATTATTGGTTTACAGAGCATTTTAGCTGGAGGCTAGACCTGGCACAGACATCATCATCGCTGTGGACTACAACTCCCATGACCCCCAACCACTTGGCTGAGCGATCTCCCAAACCAGGGGTGTATGGTATACCCATCTATATTAACTATATATATATATTAACCTAGTAAGTAACATTGTAATAGCTCATAGCAGTGACAGCACACCCAGGAAATCACACTCACAGAATGAGACAGACACAGATCAACCCACCATAATGATCTAATGGGAAAGAGCCTTTTTCTGGAGGTCGAGGTTTGAATGTTTTGCTCCCGAAGTTCATAGCAGTCGACATGTTTGCAGCAGCTGCTACTTCCTACTTGGCTGTGCTAGCACATAGTCATGTGACTGGAGAGGTCACATGATACAGATCAGGGTGGGAATAGGAAAGTGCTGTGTGGAGCTGGATGAGTGACCTACTGCAGTGAATATATTGAAGTTAGCTTCTTATTCTTATTTTATTATTCTTATTTATATAGCGCCATCAAATTCCATAGCGCTGTACAATTCGGCCAGCTTCTTATTCGCGGGCTGAAGTCAGCTTCTTATTCATTTAACTTAAAGGACCACTATAGGCACCCAGACCACTTCAGCTCAAAGAAGTGGTCTGGGTGCCAGGTACATCTAGTGTTAACCCTGCCTGCTGTAAACATAGCAGTTTCAGAGAAACTGCTATGTTTACAAATGGGTTAATCCAGCCTCTAGTGGCTGTCTCACTGACAGCTGCTAGAGGCGCTTCCGCGCTTCTCACTGTGATTTTCACAGTGAGAAGACGCCAGCGTCCATAGGGAAGCATTGAGAATGCTTTCCTATGGACTGACTAAATGCACGCACGGCTCTTGCCGCGCATGTGCATTCAGCGGATGACGTCGGAAGAGGGAGGAGATTTAAGAATTTAACCCCTTCCTCCCCCTTCAGCCCGGTGTTTGTTTTCCTGGCACTATAGTGGTCCTTTAATCTAAAACTTTATCTAAAATGTATGGAACTGTGCAATATAAATATTACTTGATAAATACAGTATACATATACAAACCATATTTCTACACATTTCTGATATAATAAATAATGAAAACAATAAAAGGAATAATAAATGTTATTAGCTAGATAAATCAGGTTGGCTCATTCAAATTGGTTCTTGTTTATATAAAGTAGTACATTGTATCTTTCACCTTTAAAATAAATAAATAAATTTTTAGCGTTAACTAAACCACAATTTTGATTAAAAACTGGCACCAAAGTGGCACCATTAACTCAATGCATTTCAACAGGGATTTCTGAATCAGTAACCAAGGTTTTCCTATATGAAAACCATCTTAGCTCACCCAAAATGCCATTGATTTCAATACACTGGGGACCCCTCTATGTCATCCAACAACATTTAGCCTGAGCCAAATCACATTTCCTATCAAAAACTGACACCAAACTGGCACCATCAACTCAATGCATTTCAAAGGGGATTTCTGAATAAGTAACCAAGGTTTTCCTATTATATGAAAACCAGGGCCGTACATGCTGAGCGCCGAGTAGTCACAGCGCTCAGCATGACACAGACAGCGTGCCGCGCCAGACATCGGGCGCCCCCTCCCCTGCCCTGCCATGCAAAACAGCAGGGAGGGAGGCAAGTGAGGAAAGCCTTTTAATGGACTTCTGGCTCTGTGCTGCGTGGGACGAGAATTGCATAGGTAGGTAGATTTCACACTTTTACTGATTTCAGGAAGGGAGTAAGATTTATTGATTAAGGGAGGAGGTTGGTGGGGGGGAGATATTGTGTATTGGGAAGGTTGGCAAGGGGGCTAGAGATATTGATGAAGGGGGAGGTTGACAGGGGGAGATATTGAGTAAGGGTCTCCCACAAGGGGCTGGAGATATTGAGGAAGGGGAGGCTGGCAAGGGGAGGGAAACATAAGGGAAAGGGGGTTTGCAAGAGGGAGAGAGATATGGATGAAAGGGAGAGACATGGATGAAGTTGGGAGGGTGGCAAGGGGAGAGAAATGGATGAAAAGGGGGAGGTGGTAAGGGGAGAGGGAAAAGGGAGAAGGGGGGGGGAGGGAGACATGGATGGAAGAGAGACACGAGTAGGGAGGAATATGGATGGGAGAGAGACATAAGGGGGGGAGGACAGGGATGGAAGGGGGGGAGAAATGCATAAAAGGGGAGACATGAAAGGGGGAGAGAGATATGGATAGAAAATGAGATACATGGATGGATGGATGGAAGTGGAGAGAGACATGGAAGAGAGGGGAACAGAGAACGAAAGTGGGTTGAGAAGAGACATGGATAGGAGGGGGTAGAAGTGAGCAGAGTGTGCAGTTACATCTTACCCTGCCTGGAGAATTCAGAAAGACTAGGGAGCGAGCGGAGTGGATAATGCGGCTACACCTAAGGTTTGACACCTACCTGGCTGAGACTGCAGTTGGCATAGGGACTGAGGGAGTGTGTGGAGTGGACATTGCTACTAAGACAGTAAGTAACTAAGTGAAGCTTTTGAGTAAATTGTATGTATGTTCCCAGGATTACATATTGTGTGAAAATGAAACACGTAATTTTAGTTTGTGTTGCTCTACGATTCACCAACTTTTATTCAAGTCACAGATGACCAGTTACATGATGCTTTCTACTCATCAGTGGTTATTACTGTCATTCAAAGACAAACACAGTAAGTCCCACCAGGCACAGCCAGCCCAAAGCAATCACAAACACAAGCAGTCTCCATCACAAATTGACCACACAAAATGATCACACACATTCTCATCACACTCAGTCAGCCCAATGCCACACAGTTTCCATCACATGTACACAGTTCAATAATATCACACTATCACACACAGACAATATAATACACAGGGCCGGTGCAAGGATTTCTGCCGCCCTAAGATCCACTTTGCCGCCCCCCTCATGTCATTTACTCACTGGCACTGGCAGACTTACATTCACTCACTGACAGACACATACACTCACTGACACTCACATACACACACACACACACACAAAATCACTGACAGACATACACTCACAGACACTGACAGACATACACTCACTGACAGACACACACACACAGACACTTACTGACAGGCATACAGACACTCACTCACTGATAGACTTACACTCACTCACTGACAGACATCCACTCACTCACTGACAGACAGACATTCACTCACTCACTGACAGACAGACAGACACACACACAGGCAGACACACACACTCTCACTGACAGTCAAACATTCACCTCCCTGGTGTCCAGTGTGGGGCAGCTCCTCACTCCTCCTGTGCGCTGTTTTGTATGCCAGGGCCGGAATGACATCATATTCCGGCTCCTGGCATCACAGAGGGTGCGCCAGGGAGGAGTGAGGGACTGAAAGAACAGCCTCCCTCGCCGCCTTCCTTCTCCGCCCCCCTCTCCTCCAGACACTGGGATTTGTTGGCAGAGCAGGCACCTGCCATTAAGTTAAGCAGGTGACTGCTCTGCCTTATCTAGCGCACAGCTTATGGGGCAACCTGAGGTGGCCAGATGGCCACCTCCTTGCCTCCCTGTGACAGGGATCCTCTCGGCGCCCCCACCTCTGGGCGCCTTGAGGATCAGCCCGGCGCTGGTGGAGGGCGGCTCGAGAGCCGCTTGCCCAGCGCTGCGAACCCAGACAGGGGCAGGCAGTCCACCAGGGAGCATTCTGCTGGGAACCCCCAGCAGGCTGGTGCCGTTGGCACCAGCCCTTATAATACATCACATGTAGCCAAATATATCACACACAAACTGTGCCATTACACTAAGACAGCCCAATATGCAGTCCCCATTACACCTTGACACCCCAATATATCACATGCAGTCCCCACTATACTCAGACAGCCTGAGTTCATCGGTCACAACCAAAATATTTGTTAGTTATAAAAAAAAAATATATAGTGACACCAGTAAAGACTCCTGTTTGTAATAGGGTGCAGAGCCAGACTACCCTGGGACCGCTGTGAGATGTGGCCTTTAAGAATTTGGCAGTGGCAGGATGCAGATGTGGCCGTAAGAGTGTGAGATGGTACCCTCTCGGCCAATTTGATGCCGCCATTGTTGTCGCCGGAAATCTCATATCCGGCATCTTTTTCCTTCTGCATGGCGCATGCAGGAGCTGTTTGCACTCAGAGGACTTCAATCTATATGCCAGGGTAAGTCCTGGGTGCTAGGGCAAGTCCTGTGAGTGCAATCTCAGTGTTGGGTAAGTTATGGGTGCTCGGGAAAGTCATGTGAGGGCAACCCCTGTCAAGGGATAAGTGCTGGGCCAAGTCCAGTGAGTGCAATCGCTTTGCTGATGTAAGTCTACTACGTGACTTCACACGCACGTCGACGCCGTTATTACCGTGGGCAGACATGGGGCTACAATATGTCGTGGATCCGCAACGGCCGGCGTCCACCAACATGCTGCAGAAGTCAGGCATACTGGCGCAGGCCCGCTGAACTTCACCTCCATTACCGCTAGGAAGGCAATTTCCACTGTGAACACCATAAGGTAAGGATGAATATGTGACAACAATATAAAAAAAAAAACGGCATCCCCCTCCAGATCCCAGCCCCCCCTCGATACTAATTCCCACCCCCCCATACTATTATTTTTTATTATTATTAATTTTGCCATTTATATAGCGCCAACAGATTCTGTAGCGCTTTACAATATTATGATAGGGGGATTTAACTATAAATAGGACAGTCCCCTTCTTCTACTAAATCCCAGCATCCCCCTCTACTAAACCCCAGCTCTTGATGTGAGTGGAGCTAACAAGCAGACTCCACTTACATTGCCGCTTCCAATATACGCCCCCAATGGCGCCATCCTCACCCTGTGCCAAAGCGGATCTTCCAGCTACTCCTTGAAACCCTGTGAAGGGGGAGCATGTTGACATCACGTTGGAATGTCCAGGTCCTCCACTGTCCGGCTGCAGACATCGCAACACTGACCAACACACACACTCACTGACAGACACAATACACACACTCACTCACTGACAGACAGACACACACTGACAGGCATGCACACTCATTGACAGACACACACACACTCTCACACACACATACCCTCACACACACACACACACATTTACACATTGTTGCACACATCATTTTATTTATTGTTCCCTACCTTTGGGAGCTTGTGTGGGGCCTCTTCCTGGGGTCCAATGGGGATCTTCTCTCTGGAGATCTCCCTTCCTGCTCCTCACTGCTCACTCCCGTGTGCAGTTTAGTGATGCTGGGTCCCGGGATGACGTCATATTCCGGCACCCGGCATCACTAGGAGCAGGAAGACTGAGCTCTCTCGCTGCTGCCAGCGACCTCTCCTCCTGGATGGGTACATTTTAGCAGAGTAGGCACCTGCAATGTGGGGAGAGCAGGTGCCTAGCAAAGTTATTCATTGTGGGCTACATGTGGCCCCTGAGCCACGAGTTTGACATGCTTGCACTAGATGGACAGATCACCTCTTCTGGCTTCTCCTTCTTCCAGGCAGGAAACAACTCCTCTGGTTGTTTGCGACACGGTCTTTACAAAAATGAATTTGGGCTCATAGGCTCAAGTGATTCAACTCTTACCACATAAGTCTGCCAGTCACCAGGCCCCCTAAATAACAGACAACACTCATGTTCAGGGGGCAAGAATACCCAAGATTCTTTATTGAAAACAAAGACTAGTCTCCAACAACCCAACATTCAATTTATAGTGCCACAACTAAAACAATAGATGCAAATTTACATAATTACCGAGCTTAATCATTCTTACAACAATGGAAATAAAGAAGGACTTCAATGGCAATGACACTCTCAGACGACCACCCTCTTTTAAATAAACATGGGCTAGACAGAGAATGAGGATGTTTTCTCTCTCTTAATAAGTTTTAGGTAATCCTGTGTGGTTTGTCAAACTACTTGACTAAAGCTGGAAGGACTAGATCTATAACTTCCATGCACTACCACCACAAAAATAAGAGACAAATTGCTTAGAGTGCTTAGCATCCCTTTAAAGGACCACTCTAGGCACCCAGACCACTTCAGCTTAATGAAGTGGTCTGGGTGCCAGGTCCAGCTAGGGTTAACCCATTTTTTCATAAACATAGCAGTTTCAGAGAAACTGCTATGTTTATGAATGGGTTAAGCCTTCCCCCATTCCCTCTAGCGGCTGTCTCATTGATAATGCTTTCCTATGTGACCAGCTGAATGCGCGCGCAGCTCTTGCCGCGCGTGCGCATTCAGCCGACAGTGCGGATCGGAAGAGGAGAGGAGGAGGAGAGCTCTCCGCCCAGTGCTGGAAAAAGGTAAGTTTAACCCCTTTTCCCCTTTCCAGAGCCGGGTGGGAGGGGGACCCTGAGGGTGGGGGCACCCTCAGGGCACTATAGTGCCAGGAAAACGAGTATGTTTTCCTGGCACTATAGTGGTCCTTTAAGTAAAATAGGTTTACATAACAGCCATTAGTCATATTTTTGATGAAGTCGCTGGAGTAAATTTCCCAAATTCATCTGAAAATGCTATTTAGCCATTTGTCTTAAGTGGTTATTAATCCTGCACAATTTAATTAAAGTGTTATATGTGCCTATTTGTAGATTAAAGGAATACAAACCTGTATTCCTAGCGCTTTAGTGTCCCTGTCCCTTTTTAGATAGGTCCCTTCGTGGGTCACATGAAAAATCATACAATGCAGCTATTTACTAACCTTTTTCCAGTGCCAAGGCTGAATAAGTGCTGCTCACCTTTCCTCCTCCCACATCATCGAGAAGGCATGGTCACCTCCGACATGATCCAGTCCAATGGTCTTTATAGACGAGCATTGGGGACCTAATGTTCATGCGCGCACAATCAGGCCTTTCCCGTAGCTAAGCATTGAATCAATTATTTCCTGTGAGATCTTCTGCTTCACGTGACCAAGTTTTACTCAGTCTGTGCTGTGGAAATACCTCCAGTGGCTGTTAATCTGACTGGTGTGTTAACCCTTAAGGCAGACCCGCTTCCAACACAGAGATCTATACCTACATTTAGTGCTTTGAGTTTTTGTTTGCCTTAAAGGACCACTCTAGGCACCCAGACCACTTCAGCTTAATGAAGTGGTCTGGGTGCCAGGTCCTTCTAGGGTTAACCCATTTTTTCATAATTATAGCAGTTTCAGAGAAACTGCTATAATTATGAATGGGTTAAGCCTTCCCCCTAATCCTCTAGTGGCTGTATCATTGACAGCCACTAGAGGCGCTTGCGTGCTTCTCACTGTGATTTTCACAGTGAGAGCACGCAAGCGTCCATAGGAAAGCATTGTAAATGCTTTCCTATGAGACCGGCTGAATGCGCGCAAGCGCGCATTCAGCCGGGGGGCGTAACGGAGGCGGAGAGAAGGAGGAGAGCTCTCCGCCCAGCGCTGGAAAAAGGTAAGTTTTTCCCCCTTTCCCCCTTCCAGAGCCGGGCGGGAGGGGGTCCCTGAGGGTGGGGGCACCCTCAGGGCACTATAGTGCCAGGAAAACGAGTATGTTTTCCTGGCACTATAGTGGTCCTTTAAGTTAATCTCTTATTTTATTATTATTTTTCAACCCAGTGGTATAGTTAACCCTGATGCAAGTATCTGCAGCTTGCAATCTTCCCTACTGCTACTTCTCTGACATATTTATTTCCTTGTTTCTCATTTATTATGCTAAAAAAATAATAATGCAGTTTTCTTAAATTTTCCATTATCTTTCAACTTGTGCATTTACTTATAATCTTCTGAAATGTCATCGCATACTTGTTTGCTAACTTATGCACCACCAAAATAAAGAATGTTACAAAAAAATTGACAGGATCACTGCACCATGGTCACTTTATTGAGACGAAGTGGCCTGGGTGACTGTAGTGGTCCTTAAAGTAAACGCAGAAAATTGCATATCAATAAGACAAAGGATCTTGGAGGGGGGTCACCTGCTTCTCACAGGCATTATTAAAAAGTACTTCATTCTTTTTCTTTTTCTTACTATTGTCTCAGTGTGGCACAAATTTTATAATGCTTTGGTCTCATGGTGAAAAAAACATCTGGAGTAAGGTCCAGATCTGACTTGTCTATTCCTGGTGGAGGGTGGAACGTGAACTTCTGGAGCAAACCGGTAAAGAAAATGAAAAGTTCCATTCTGGCCAAACTCTCTCCAGCACAGACCCGCCGTCCTGCAAAGTACATGATAAAATGCTGTTATAAAACTGATACAATGAGCTTACCATATATTTGACATACATAAAGACCATGTCCATTTCAGTTTCCCTAACACTAGGAATGCTTGCAGCAGGGTTGAAGAGCTATTAGGTTCATTTGTCTGCTTCATAGTCCTCTCTGGATGCCTATTACGTACTGAAACAAACACAGCCATAAACTCAGCATTATCACTCACTACAAACATAGGATTTTTTGAGGCATCGGTCGCATCTAATCCAATGTACCTCTAATCCTAGTCGTATGGGTGGGATTTAAAGCAGTGCCATTAAGCGGCTCTAAAATTACACTGTGCTCTTATTAATATACCGTATTTTTTCATGTAGAAAACTACGTTTTTTTTCTAAATTTTTTAGTCTAATATTGGGGGTCGTCTTATACACGGAATGTCACAGCAGGGGTTAAAAAAAACAAAAACTTGTGCGAGGGGCCTAAGTTAAGATGGCGTCTGCCACATTTCAGTGTGCCATGGGCCACACATATACCTGGCCTCTCTCCCACTTCTGAATGCTGTGGCAAGGAGGAAAAGTTCCCTATATGCGTGGGAGCTGCAGCAGACGTCAGCACTTACCACCAACGGAGCTCGAGACATGCCACACCATCAAAGGGGCAGACATATTAAGGTTTGCTCCACCTCAGGTAGGTCTTGCTCTCTGATTTGTATTTTTGGGCGAGGAAATGGGGATAAGGGAGCAGAGGGAATACTGCTGTGATGTCCCAGCATGCCCTCACACCACCTGCTGTATTGTGGGCGCCCTGGAAACGAGCAATACTACACATGGTATTTATCCTTTATACAATATTTGTATGTGTTTTATGAGGCGAATGTGGCAAGATGGTTGTGACAGAGTGAGTGTGACAGGGTGACTGTAACAGTGAGTGTGGCAAGATGACTTTGGAAGTGTGACTGAGTGTGAATAGTAGCGAGGGGAGTGACTATGACATGATGACTGTGTGTGAGGAGTTTGTGTAGGGGTGAATGTAACATGGTGACTGTGTGTATGAAGTTAGTGTGGGGGGTGATGTGATATGACGCCTGTGTGTGAGTAGGTGGTGTGTGGGGTGACCTAGTATGACTGTGGGGGAAAGGGATGACTGTTACAAGGTGACGTGTGTGTGTGTTTAGAGCAGGTGGGGAGGTAATGTGTAGCTTTGTTTGTCGGGAATGGGGTAATATGACATGATGACTAGCTGAGTGTGGGGTTAGAGGGTAATGTGGCAGTCTGTCTTACTGTATGTGTGGCTGAGGGGGCCAGGGTGACTGACGGTGGGTATGTGAGGGAGGGGGTGATGTGGCAGGGTGACTGTGTGGGGAAGGGAGGTAATGAGAGAGGATGACTGAGTGTGTGTGACAGAGTGATGGATTGTGTGTGGGAAGGGTAATTTGGCCAGGTGACTGAGTGTATGTGTGGGGGAGAGCGTTATATGACAGGGTAACTGACTTTGTGTAGGGGGTGATGTGACAAGTTGACTGACTGTGACTGAGTGTATGTGTGGCGAAGGTGTGATATGACCGGGTGACTGTGTGTGATAGGAGGGCATGATGTGACAGAATGACAGACTTTGTGAGTGTTGAGAGGGGGCGATATGTCAGGTTGAGTGCAGGGGGTAGATTGTATGTGGGAAGTCTGTATTTCCCTGTTCAGCCTCCCCAAACATTGTTGCTTACCTTTTAGCAGTTAGGAGGGGTCTAACCATCTTCTCGTGGTGGTGTAGCAGTACCCTTGGGCTACCTGTAGAAACCTGTGGATCTCTGGCTGAGAGCAGACCCCTCGGAATGCCCCCTTCTGGTCTCTGGCCAGGAGGGAGCACTTGCCAAGAGCTTACTCAGCCAAAGAGCATAGTGCCATGCAAGGAGACCTCTAGATCTCCCTACCGGCCCGTGCAGTGTGGCAGGGGTGTAGGGGATCTCACAGCAATTTAAATCAAATTTCATTTATAACTATTGTAGTCGTGTCCACATGTTTGCGCGGTATGGATGCAGACCATGCCACTCATATATAAATGAGTGCTGCATAGAAGGGTTAAAATAAACATAGAACCAGGTGTCCATTACAGAATACCTCCTATCCTTTTAATTTTCTTAAACCCATAATGACCTATCCCAGCTACTTCCATTACCTTTAGAAAAAGGATAGAACGCATCTTTCTTCAAAAACTTTCCATTGAAGTCAAGAAAATGATTGGGATTGAACTCGTATGGTGTCTCCCATTGAGTTTCATCATAAAGAATTGATGTTAAAAGTGGGATAACTTGTGTTCCCTAGAAAAAAAAAAAAAAGAACTTACAGTTACAGTTTCCATTTACAGTTACATTGAGTTAACAAAAACAATAGTCAGAGAGCTTAGGAATTAAAGGCACATTCTGAGCTCTATAAGAACTACACTGTATTGTAGTGGTTATGGTACAATGAGTATTTCAGGGTTATTCACTAACCTCAGAACTTTAGTATATTAAAGGGTTACTCCAACCCTTATGCAAACAATTTTTTCTAAAATTTGCAATGTTCTATAGGGCATTACTAGCAGGTTTAACCTCCCCAAAACCTGTAAAAGATTTTATACTTACCTGGATACCAGCGCAGGGTGAAGGTCCTGGCGCTGACTTCCATGCCTCGTCCTAATATCATCCCAGCACATACGCGGTCCAATCACAGGCTGGGAGGGGAAAGCTATCTTTATTTTTACATCTGTGTTGTATGCACTGATGACAGATGTAAAATATGCACAGAATTGACATTAGGCAGCCCAGAATAGAGTTCCAGGCTGCCTAAGTGCAAGTAGCCCCAGGCACACAATTAAAAATGTCTCTGCATGTGCAGAAACATTGAACATTCAGATTTCTACTTCAGATCCCTAGAAGTAGTCATGGTGGTTGGAGTAACCCTTCAAGTTTTATTTTCACATTACCCTTCCTAATTTATACAGCTGCGACAGGATGTGATCTGTGGATGTAGCTTAGCTCTGAGTTTACAGCCTATCATTGCCATCTAGACTTACATGGAGTTATATGGATAATGTGTAAGTGAAGTAAGCACCAGGCTGTGGATGTCTAATTCATAGACCATTGTTATAAGAGCATACATGGTCACTGATCTGTAAAGGGCTGAAGAATTCTATTTAATATTATAGATTCATTCTATAGTTAAGCTCAAGCCGCTACTTACTTAAAAGATAAAAAAACTGTAACACAGCAATGACTCTGTCCAAGATTTTCTGGGCCTGCGATACCAAATGTGTTGTGCTGTACTAGACGTGCTCTGTCTATTTTACAGAGGTAGGTACTCTTGGATCTTCTCATCACCTCTGCTAAATTTTTTTATCAGTTGAATTTGGCAGCTGGAGGCTAGCTATCTTAC